GTCTTCTTGCTCGACACCTTCACCATCACCATCTTCAATTGCTGGTTCATCATCAACCCTGAGTTCTCCATCATACTCTCCCCCTACTGTGGCATCTCTAGGAGGTTCTACAGGTGAAAGATCCACCTTACCACCTGGTTCTCTGATTTCTGGTGAAGCAGAATCAGACATAGTTTCTTGCTCATGGAACACTACATCTCTGCTTCTGACAATTTTTCGTTTTTCTGGATCCCATAACCTGTAGCCAAATTCCTCATCTCCATAACCCAGAAATATACAAGGAATGGCTCTATCATCAAGTTTTCGTCTCTGTTCCTTGCTTACGTGAGCAAAAGCTTTGCATCCAAACACCTTCAAATGAGAGTATTTCACATCATGTCCGGACCATACTCTTTCAGGGATATCAAAGCCCAAAGGAACAGATGGAGATCGGTTGATTAGGTAGCACGCCGTCAGAACAGCTTCACCCCAGAATGGCTTAGGTAGCTTAGCCATTCTCAACATACACCTCACTTTCTCCATAATGGTTCTATTGATTCTTTCAGCCACTCCATTATGCTGTGGGGTTCCAGGTACAGTCTTCTCATGCCTGATTCCATGATCAGCACAATAATTCTTGAATTCATGGGAAGTATATTCCCCTCCATTATCTGAGCGAAGACACTTCAAAGGTTTACCAGTTTGTCTCTCCACCATAGCGTGAAACCTTTTGAAGTACTGAAAAACTTCGTCCTTCGTTCTCAAGAAATACACCCACAGTTTTCGTGAAGCATCATCAATAAACGTCACGAAGTATTTGCTACCACCGAGACTCTCCTCTTCCATGGGTCCACATACATCAGAATACACCATCTCCAATACATTCTCTTTCAGCTTCGAGGTTTTGCTGAAAGACACTCTATGATGCTTCCCAAAGAGACAATGATCACAAGGATTTAGTTTTGAATCTTTGGCAAACGGGATGAGGGACTTTCTTGCCAAAATTTGCAATCCTTTTTCACCAATATGAGCCAGTCTTTTGTGCCACAAATTTGGCAAAGCATCATCTTCGACTGCATTCAGGCCACCCTTGATCAGCTTCACTTGAGTTCTGTACAGTGTCGATCTCACTGTACCTTTAGCAGCTAACAATGATCCTTTGGTAAGCCTCCATGTGCCGCTACCAAAATTGTTAGTGTAGCCTGCTAGATCCAATGCATGCACAGAGATCAGATTCAGACGTAAGTCAGGTACATGTCGCACGTCCTTCAGTGTTATTGTGCACCCAATATCAGTTTGAATGCACACATCACCAACTCCCACAATATTTGCAATGCTGTCGTTTCCCATCTTTACTCTACCAAAGTCTCCTTCTTTGTATATAGAAAAGAATTCCTTGTGAGAGGTGGCATGGTAAGATGCGGCCGAGTCAATGACCCATTCAACACATGAATCTGCAACATGACACTCTTCTTCTTCAACAGAGAGCAACACCACTTCCCCATTGATCACAGGGGTTGCGGTATTTTCATCGTTCTCTGATTTGTTATTCCTCCGATCTCTGTTCTTCCAGGCTTTGCAGTTTCTTTTGATATGCCCCTCTTCACCGCAGTGATAACATTTGAATTTTCTTCTGGGTTGAGATTGTGATTTATCTCTGGATTTGTTATTCCGGCCTCTGCTTTTACTTCTCCCCCTGGTTTCTGTGACCAGGGCTTGGGAGCTGCTTGCTCCTGAATCTTTTCTTCTTGTTTCTTCATTAAACATACTGTCTTTGACTTGGATCAAAGTCAGTTTTCCTTCAGGAGCAGAGTTGCTCAACGAGACCACCAGAGTCTCCCAGCTATCCGGTAAAGAACTCAAAAGTAACAGCGCCTGCAGTTCTTCATCAAGTTTCATCTCCATGGTAACAAGCTGGTTTACCATGTCTTGAAACTCATTCAAGTGTTCTGCAACTGATNATTAGACTCTAGATTTATTTTGAGGGAGACTACTGATAGCTAGTCTAATCTGGGGAGACTAAATAGAGAAGCAAAAATGGTATTTTATTTTTTTTAATGTAATTTGTAGGATAAAATAAATATAATTGATGGAGAATTAGTGGGGTTGGGAGTGGGTCGAGAGGCTGTTGTTGAAAATAACAACACAGAAAAACAAATATTGAAATAAGAGAGAGGAAAAATACAGCACAATGGTCAATGGCAGGGGAAGTTTTCTAGTTCACGTTCAATGATTCTCGTGTTGGGCTCAGATGCGCAAATGCGGAAGGTGTAAATTAAAACACCGGAGTAAAATGGTGAACAATAATCCCAATCCCAGCAACTCAAGAATGACAAAAGAAAATCCCTTGCAATAAAATAGGAATAATTCTTTTCTGATGTGGAAGATCAGATTAAACTGCGACCACAGAGCATACTAAGAATATCCCAAATAAATAAAATATGCAAGAAAAACGACACCAAGATTTAACGTGGAAAAACCTCCAATGTAGAAGAAAAAACCACGGGACAATCTCCGAACAATTCCACTATATTTTCAAGATAATTACAATATCTTTTCACACTCCCCTACACTAGAAATGTAAAATATAGTGACCCAGTAAGACCCCACTCCTATTCAAATATTACAAACAAGGAGTAATAGAGATGATACCCGACCCGGTGTATTTTTCCCACACCCAAAGGATTTACTCAAACACTCTATTTTTATCTCACTGAAAAATAACACTCACAAGAAATATTATTCTTGTTATCTTGCTCTCTTTTTCTCTCTTTTTTCTTTTGCTTGGTACATCTATAGCTCTGCCGAATGTGTGCTATTTATAGAGTAGGATTGCTCTCAAATTTTCAAAGTT